GCTACATCGAGGCTAGCCCACGCTAATTCGGCGCTATTGCATCGACTCCCAGGCGCTAGTCGACGCCAGTCGACACGAAAGACGGCATTAACAGGGCACGCCAGGTTTCCATGATTTGCTACCGAACACATGGGGGTGACAACTTGTCTGGCGGCGCGCTGGGAAGCAGGAGGAGGAGGAGGAGGAGGAGGAGGAGGAGGAGGAGGAGGAGGAGGAGGAGGAGAGGAGAGGAGGAGGGAGGGAGGGAGGGAGGGAGGGAGGGGGAGGAGGGAGGGAGGGAAGCGAGCGGGCCGAGCTCGCCCCCGCTGGGTTCTCCGCGTCCTTCCTGCACCTCTTCAGTGCGGAAGCTGCGCGCCCGCGGGCGCGCCGCCAGGTCTGCGGGCGGCCCGCGGGAAAGGAACTCGAGCCTTGGGCCGCGCATCATCATCGGGCTGTCCGCCTTCGTCGTCCCATCTGCGCTTGGTACCCACAAAAAAGTGGCCCCCAACAGCAGCCCTCGAAAGTGGCAGCTGCCTCGCAAGTCGCAGCCCCCCACGAACAGCAAGGACTCATCGAATCTGAATATGCGCTCGGTGCTCACTAGGCTGGCCCTCCCAGCAGCCCTCGAAAATAGCGGCATTCTCGCAGATCGCAGCGCCCCGGGGATGACGAGGTCTAACTTGGATCTGCGCTCGGTACCCACTACGCTGGCCCCCACGCAGCGACCGAAAGCGGCGACAGTTTCGCAGTCCGCAGATCCCCAAAGATAGCGAGGATATGCGTTTGAAAATGTTTCGTTTCCACCACGCCGGCACCCCCCGAGCAGTCCCCGAAAGTGACGACAGATTCGCAGATCGCAGCCCCCGCAGGGATGGCGAGGTCAAATCTGAATCTGCGTTCGGTATGCATTGCGCTAGCCCCCCCATCCCCCAGCAGCCCTCGAACACGGCGACAGTTTCGCAGATCGCAGCCCTCGGAGGTTGGCAAGATCTAATCTGAATCTGCGCTCGGTACCCACTACGCTGCCCCCCCCCGCGCAGCCTTCGAGAGTGGCGATAGTTTCGCAGAACGCCGCCCCCCCCCCCCCCCAGGGATGGCAAGGTCAAATCTGGATCTGCGGTTGGTGCCAACCAAGCTTGCCCCTCCAGCAGCCCTCGAGCGTGACGACAGTTTCGCAATCCGCGGCCCCATAAGGACGGCGAGGTCTAATCTGGACCTGCGCTCGGTGCCAACCAAGCTGGCCCCCATCAACAGCCCTCGCAAGTGGCGATAGTTTCGCAGTTCGCAGCCCCCCGAGATGGCGAGGTCTCATCTGAATCTGCGCGCGGTACCCAATTCTCAGACTCCCAGGCATGGTGAGGTCGAATCGGGATCTGAATTCGGTACCCACCACGCTGGCCTTCCCACGGAGATCGCAGCCCTCCAGGGATGGCGAGGTCAAGTTCGAATTTGTGCTCGGTGCAAACAAATGCGGGCTACAGTCATCGTGCTACCATAAGGAACGCAGATTAAGGCACGAAGGGCATTTTCTGACTACGGCGGGCATAGGCCAAGAGCACGTCCCAAGACACAAATCTCAGGAACGGCCCGAAAACTCAAGCCCCTTCTGAGCCCAAAGTGGTCCTTATGTTAGCGTCTTGGCTGTATCCCAGCAACCTTCGATAAGTGGCGATCCTTTCGCGGTCCGAATCCACCGGGCGAGCCCCCAAGGTGGGGCGGCGAGGTGGGAAGCAGGCCAGCGGCCAGGTATAGTTAGAGGGGGAGGGGAGGAGAGAGGCGGGAAGGATGGAGACGCGACCCCAGCGCCCTGTTAAGAAGTAGGAGGCAAGCCAGCGGCCTGGTAGAGGGGGGGAGCAGGAGGCAGGCAGGAAGGATGGAGACGCGACCCCAGAGCTCTGCCAAAAGGTCGGAGGTAAGCCAGCGGCCTGGCAGAAGGGAACAGGACTCTGTGAAAAACGAGGCTCCCAACGCAGCAGAATCGACATTACAAAACAGCGGGCGGCGCCTGGTGCCACCGTCGGCCCCCGCCGGGCCCCCGCTGGGCCCCGGACTGTCAGAAGGCAGCCCGCAGGGCCAAAAAAGCGGCCCCAGGTCGTGGGTCCAGACCTCCATGAGGTCCACGCTGTAAAAAAAACACAAGCACATCACGTGGGGGGTCCTTCTTTCTTGAACAACGATATATATGTATATATATATATATATATATATATATATATATGCGCAGCCCCCCCCCCCAGCACCCATTGATTTCGCATCGGTCGTTGAGGCGTCATTCCTACTCTCATTGGTCGCCCCCCCTCTCTTCATCCGTCCCCGCTCGTCCGCCCTTCCTCTGCATCCTTTCTCCGATGTTTGTTTCCCTTTCACTTCTGGTTATCCCGCATGTTTCTTCCCCCCATCGCCCCCCCTATCTTGATCCCTCCCTCGTCCTCTTCATGCTTCCCTCCCCCATCCACTTCTTCTTCACCTTCATGCCTTTTCCCCCAATCGTCCTCACTGTGTGGACCAATCCCTCTTCCTCTTCCTGCCTCCCCATCCACGTCCTCTTATCATTTATGCTTATTCCTCCCATCGTCCTCCCTGTCTTGATTCCTCCCTCTCCCTCGCCTTCTTCCTGCTTCCCTCGCTCTCCTCCCCAATCCCCCCTCATCGCGCCCCCTGCTATCCTCCACATTCCTTTTGCTATCGTAGCCCCTTTAGGCTCAAGACGCCCACGTATTGCCATCATGCCTTCGTCGTCGGAGGCCGCGCTGAAGCGCAAGCGTGTCAACAACATGAACAGAACCCGCGTGAAGGCATTGAAGGCGTTCCTGAACAGACCCTGGGTGAAGCAGAAGCTGCACGAGGCGCTCAAGCAGTTCAAAGATGCATCGTATAAGCGCCTATGCGACGCAGTGGCGGGCGTCGCCCTACAGAGCCACAAGCGTTTCGACGACCTGCACCAGAAGAACATGAAGCTAAGGGGGCAGCTCTCCAAGGCACAGGACCAGGACGAGCAGGTCAAGCAACTGCAGAAGAAGAACCAGCGGCTCGCGAAGGAGAACAAGCAGCAGGGGGAGCTTCTCGAGAAGCAGCAGGCTGAGCTAGAGCAGGCTAAGGGAAGCGGTGGGCCTGGCTCACCATGGACCCAGCGAGGAGGGTCTCGAGGGGTAATTCATCCCTTCGGGATGGCTGCATGGGCATGCAGTAAGGCAGGCGCCCACGACCCCCCTTCGCGGGGCTGCTAACGACACACTCACACACATGCTGACGCATTGTGCCGCCTGGCGGGTGCGCCCCCCCCCCCCCCCCCCCCCTTTCGATCGATTCGTATGATATCGCGTGCAGCATTCGCATGACGAGCCACGACCGTCTCGAACTGCTACGGCGTGTTGGCCTTGGCCACCAGTTAGGGGGATCTTGAACAAGATCCCCCTTGTCGGGGGATCTTGAATAAGATCCCCCTATGCGCGGGGTTCAAACATGATAGCACTCTGCCGTCAAAACTGCCCGCCTTCCGCCCTCTTTCCCCGCCGCAGGCGCACTGGCTCAAGCTCGCTGCCTTCGCCAGCAGGCCAGCCAGGACTCTCCTGCGATGGCGAACGCGCAGGCCATGGGAATGGCCTCCCTCGGCAAGGCCCTAGAGCGCCAGAACCGCACCGAAGATGTCCTCAACCGCACGTGCGCACTGGCAATTGCGAAGAGGCCCCCTCGATGCTCACGGAAGCGGCGGCGGTCGGCAACGACGTCAGCAGTCCAGGCAGCGCGGCCGCGTGGGACTTGCCCACCAACCCTTCGGAGAGCCGCGCCCAGAAGACAACCATCTAGGTCGTGGACTTGGTCGCTGCCCCAAGCGATTTGTCCACTATCGACTGGGGCACAGTCAAGGAACACATGTTGAACGGGGAGTACAACAAACTGCCGTCGCCACTGGGGTTCCCCATGGCGACAGAGATCCCGATGTCTCTCAG